TGTTCACCAAAGACAGAATGGGGAGCAGAGCAGGCAATCTACTGAAATACACTGCTGAGGGGAGCATGAGGGCTGGGGTTCAGGAGAGGTCTACTGTGCCTGTGGGTCTGCTGTTGCGGCCACAACTGACTTCATAGTGCTGAGACTTAACCTCTTGGCCACCAGGGAGGCCCCTGGAGCCCTTTTTTAAACGCTTTTTTTTTTTTTAAGTTGATGATACTGAAAACTAAACTTCTTTCCTCCTCTCCCCAAATTAGAATGGTCAAAGGGTAAATGGATGGATAAAAAGCATAAATAAATCTGCTCCCTTTAACAGTGAGGGTTTGAGAGGCACTGGGTTCACAGAGTGGGGTTCACAGAGTGGGGTTCACAAAGTGGGGTTCTTGTTACTGCTGAGTAGGGTTTCGCCAGAGCTCCCTTTTCCGAGGTCCAGGCTTCCTGGGAGGCAGTCTCCCCATGAGGCAGAGTTGTTTAGTTATCTAAAAGGACAGGTTTAGTATAAAAAGGGAAAGGAAGATAAAAGATGCTTGCACCGACACAAGTGGGCAGAAGGAATGGCCCTGAAGGTGCAGGTTTGCTCAAAGAGGGGCCTGCAGGGTCACAGGCCGGGCCTTGGAGGAGTCCCTGCCGGTGCAGAAATTGTACTGATACAGTGTTTTTCTCCTTGGGAGGGACCCACGCCTTTGTGGCATTGTTAGCTGTTGTTGGATATATTACTTCTAGGGTTTGACTAGGCAGAGTCTACAATGGCCCTTAATCTTCAGAGCCCCACCTCTGGTCTGCCCTTGGGGATCTGCGGATCGCCATCTGATACTTGCTATAGCAGTTTGCCCTAAGGACTTTTCATTTCTATAGCTGGTTTAACAACTGCGTTAATCATTTCTATACCCACCTCCAGTGTCTGGTCTTGTGATGCCTCTTTCCTACATTTTCTATTTTAACATCTGTCATTACCTATCATCCTAAGACTCTTTATCTGCAAGTGTCCACCCAGAGGAGTGCCAGGGAAGTCCTTGACATTGTTCTGCTGCCCCTGCTCCCCTGGGACATGGGTGTGAGGGCTGGAGGGGGCTCACTGGAAGAAGAGGTGCTCATCAGATGGATACCAGCCATGCTGCTGCCTTGGCCTTCTGCAGGGAATTTGAGAACTGAGGGCCATGACTGGGCACCAGGCCAGCTCAGCCTACAGGTCTTCCCTGCATACACCCCCTGCCCTGGGCACCTCCTGGTTCATCACCTGGAATATGAACCTTAAACTTTCTAGTGTACCATTTTTTTGTAACTGGGGGGTTCTAGCAGCCAGGCAACCTTTATTTATTTTTTTTTTTTGGATATTGAGATTGAGTTTGGGATAGAAAAAAGGAAATAAGCATTAGAATAGAGTTGAAATCCTCTGAAACAATTCCAGGAGGATTATGAGATGTCAGTGGAAAACTCTAGGAGGGAGTAGGAGTTAGTGAGTTAGAGTCACTTGTGGAGATCAAAGAAAAGAAAAGAAAAAAAAAAAACTCCATAGAGTAACTTGGCATAGAGGAGGAACAACTGAACATGAGAAATATCCATGGAGGGTTTTTAAATCATTTGCTAAGATGTGTATAATGTACACTCTTTTAAAAAAAAAAAAAAAGATTTATTTATTCATACATACAGAACTGGGATACAGGCCAGAGGTGCAGGGCGGTAAGAGTATTCACTAGAGACAGAATGGGGGAGCAGAACAGGCAGATCGACAAAGTACACTGCTGAGGGGAGCAGCAGGCAGGTCTGCCACGCCATGTGGATCACCTCCGGGGCAGGCGGGAATTGAACTCATGCTGCAGTGGCTTTAGCTTCTTAGTGCTTTAACCCACTGTGCCACCAGGGAGGACCCAATGTACACTCTTTTACCATTTCCCCAATGTAATCTGAAAATTTCTGTTTCCTGTTAAGATTTTCTGTGTGGATTTCTTAGAAAACTCAAATGGATGATGAATTCTCTGTGCGATGTTTGATAATCCTGAAGGCTACTGTCCCAGAAAGTGGCATTGGGAGAGGCTACAGGTGACGCTGGGTTTCACATCTCTAAAGCAAATCATCCTTACTGACTCCAATGCCCTGTTCCTCCTGCCCCCAGCACTGGTCCCCTCTATCACCACAATTGCAAGAAATTTTGATTTTTCTTAAGAGCTGCAAATTGCTCTGTAATAGACAAGAAAACGGGTATGAGATATTTTTCTGAATAGAACAGTCTGGAGGGACTCTTTGGAAAGAGGGTGAAGCTGGAACAGAAGCAATGGATTGTCTTCGGGAAAGTTGTTGCTTTGTAGTCACTGGGTAAGTAACATGAACTGACTCCCACATGCTCAGGCTGAGATGAAGGTATATAAGAATCATAGCTGCTCCAGTGGGTTCAACAGGGAGTAGAGAGGCCCCTGGCTGGCTGGTGGAGGTGGGTGGCAATAGATGAGCCTTCTGCTTCTGATCAGTTGGGCAGTGATCACTGGGGGGTGACTTTGCTTGCTGATCAGTAATGTGGGAACTAGAGCAATACAGATAGAGTGACCTGACTCCCAGTTCTGATGCTGATGGACCGTGTGGCCTTGTTGAAGGAGGGGAGGACAGGAGCTGTTTCTGGGAGATGGTGTAGATGAGAAACCTGGCAACAGCACAGCCCGGAAAACCCAGATTAAACAAACTAAAAACAGCATTGAGAAAAAAGACATGACTGGAATGGGTCAAAGGAGCCATGCTGCTTCGCCGGCCTCGCCGGGCTGCTGATATGGGTGGTGGTGCACTGGGGGCAGGTGGAGGCCCTCAGTCCTTCTGTCCACCTCCTCCTGGCTCTCTCCTGTTCTGGCTGGCCTATATGTCCTCAAAAATGAAGGCCCTTTAATCCTCCTTGCAGGGACAGCGCTGGGACTGTCCACAGTCACCAACTGGCTACCACAGCCCATGTAGTTACAAGATGGCAGTGGATGATAAGAGGAGCAGCAACACAGACCTGCAAGTCAGTGTCAGCTTGTGATTTCCGATTCAGTTAGGCCAGAACTGATAAAGACAGGGAGTTGCCCTCACTGGCCACATTGCTGGGCTGCTGCAGAGCCCTGCATCTGTCTAGGCTGAGTTTTGAGTCCTTGATCATTTCCTGGAATTATTCGTTTAATTCACCTATTCACTTTCATCTATTTGTTCATTTGCTCTATTTTATAAGCCACGTATTCTCTTAACATTTTGTTACCTTGTGATGGGTGGATTATAAGATCTAGTCTCTCCTTTCCCAGAATTTATTGTGGGTGGGATGGGGGTGAAACAGATATGTGACCAAGAACTCTCAAAGATGCAAGATCTTGAATCACATTCTGTCTTGCCTCTTTGAGAGTTCTTGGAATGTGATTCAAGTCATATGAGGCAGGGTGCGGAGAGAGTCAGAAAAGAAGTACTTATGGAAGAAGGAGCGAGAGAGAATCATAAAGCAAGTGATCTAAATTTATAGACTTCTGTGTTTTCAAGTGGTCTCTTCTATCAAATTAAGGAATGGAACAGAGCCATTCAGCTGTTGTGGAAAAAGATCAGCAACTTCTCCTTCTGTGACAGGTGACAGAAACCCAACACAGACAGGCTTTGTCAAAAAGGAGGGAGCATATTGAGTCACATAGATGATCTTGAGTAGATGAAGGTATCAAGGTTTCAGGTAAAGCTGAATCCAGGCGTTCCAACAATGTGACCAGCAATCTGTCTGTATCCAGACCGATTAGGTCAAGCAGGAGGAGAGCTTAGAATCTGTGAGCATTTCAAAGGTCTAACAATGTCTTGGAGTCCTTCAAAATGTAAGAAGAAAAACTATGATAAACTAGCAGGCATGCCATTTGATGGTGATGTGCTTTCCAGTACTGCTGCCGTGGCATTGCTGCTGCTAGTTGCCAAGGTCAGCAGATGATTTTTTCATTCTCTGCTCCTTTGTCCTCTCTGCCATCTTTGATGCTGTTGGCCAGCATTTCCTTCTGGACACCCTCTCGGTCCCCAGCTTTGGAAGCACTCCAGTTTTCCTCCTGCTTCCCTGACTTGATTTTCACTCTTCTCTGCTGGACAGAGGATGACTAGGGGTGAGCCAGAAGAAAAGTTGGGAAAAGAATCCTACACATGAATTGTAGAGGAACTGTGACTGTTGAGAACTTCAGGGAAGAGCTAGAAGGAGGAAACAAAGCCTGAGTGAGGAGTAAGGAAGGATGCGACCAAGAAGAACCTTGTAAGTCACTCCAAGGAATTTGGTCATTTTCTTGAAAGAAATAGGGAGTCATTGAAAGTTCTAACAGGTGTAACATGATCAGAACTGTGTCTCACCAGCAAAATGAGAACTTTGACTGAGAAGAGGAGGCAAGATTAGAGGTAGACTTCAGAGGGAGGCAGTTATTCAGGAGAAAGAAAACTGTGGCTTCGTGAAGCAGCGATGGTGTGCAGATGGAAAAAAGGGGGGTGATTCACGAGATAGTGAGAGGACTTGTGCTGGTTAGATGTAACCAGAGCGAAAGGGAGGTGTTGAGCGTGACTACCAGCTTTCTGATTCTGAGGTGAAGAACAGAGAAGTGTGTGCAGAAGGGGAAATGATGAGCGTATTTCTTACACACTGAGTTGGAGGTTCTTGAGAACACTTGCTGACAGTGTCAGCGGGGGGAGGGACAGTTGGTGAGTTGGGGAGGAGGTCAAGTTTTGCTGCCTCACTGGGAAATTAAAACTGGGAGGGGCTCTGTGGACGCTCTGCTCCTGCTGGGTGGAATAAAGAAACTCCAGTGACCATAGGTGACCACAGATGCTTCTTTAGAAAGCAGCCGCATGGCAGGATGTGTTCTGGGAGGAGCTTTGAGGAAGGGGAAGGAAGAGGAGGGGACACAGCCAGGCCTGTGTGACCCTAGGCTTTTCTCTGCAGATCTGGAGAGAGCACAGCTGCTCAGCTTCTCTGAGGCCCTGGGTTCTGTGGGACTGTGGCACCTGTGGGCAGGACTGTGAAGAACTAATTCGGGAGCTGAGCTGCAGCAGCCGAGCTAAGGTACTGTGCTGGCTGGGACTGGGAGGGCGCCGGGAGAGGGAGATCTGAGCAGAACATAGGGAGGGATGCTGGAAGGGGAGCCCACGGGGGCAAGGGGAGGCGAGACACCCTAACTCTTTTGAACCCAAGGCTCAGTCCTTCCGCCTTCTGAGGAGGGTTATCCAGATGCAGGGGCCAATAGGGCCACTACCAAATTAAGATCATTCATTTTCAAAAGAGGGAAGGACACAGGACAATGCAAAAATTAAAAATCTCTCTGTCCTATAAATGCCAATAATAATAGTACTGAGCACACATGCTTAGTGCTGTAGCATATTCTCAGTCTCCCATTAGAGTCTCAGGAGCCACTGGAGGTAAGCTGGATGAGTCTCAAAGCCCATTTCATTGGTCAGGAAACTGAGGTTTACAGAGATACAGCAACTTGCCAAAGCTTGCCAAGTGGGTAGCAAGGCACAGGGCTCGGAGAGAACCTTCAGGGTACACCCTTTTGGGGGTATCATCTTCTGGGGAAGTTGGTGATGGTCGTGTTGATCTGGATTGACCATCTTCTGCCTGGACAGCCAGGGCCTGAGACTGGGAGAAGGCTGGTGTGCAGAGGTGAGGTGACAGGCATCCCAGTGAACAGAACAAAGCACACAACCAAGAGTGGGAAAGTGGGTAGGAAAGCTGAGAGAGAGGGAGAGGCCACCAGAGGTGTCCTCTAACTGCTCAGGCTATTCAGGCACAGGCATGTAGTTTCCTCTTCTTATTTTAGTTCTAAGTGGAGTTTAAATTTCATCTCATTTAGTTTTCTCAATAAGCCTGTGAGACAGGTGCTATTAGGTCTCCTTTAAAAACCAGGCAGCCGTAGCACAAGGGTTTTAAGCAATGAGCCTAAGTTGCCATGGCAACAGAGAGCCTTGGAACCAGGCAGCCGGGTATCAAATGTGATCAGCTCAGCCACTTTACTGCCCAACCTCCCTCAGAGCCATCTCTGTGGTCTCCAAGGAAGACAGGATAGCGTAGTGGACTTGAATGCCAGGCCTCCGTCTGGTCCTCGGGCTCCCAGTGTGTGTCCAAGCCTCACTAGCTTCCTTCCAGGCTCCCTGCCTCGGGGAACAATGCTTCCCACCCTCATTCCCCACCAGACTGTTTCTCTCACATCAGGTGTTTCCTTCTCAGTCAGTGGCAGACACAAGGAGAGGAAACAGGATGGCCAGGGAAGCAGAGCCCTCGTCTCCCCAGCCCCTGGGAATCTCCGATGCCCAAGTGGGCCTGATGGGATGAGTTTTAAGGTTGAGGAGAGAGAGGATGCAGGGGTATAGTTCTGGGGAACTCTGTCTTTTCTTCCAGTTTTAGTCTGGAAGGGATGGTCACAGTGAGGTTCGGGCAGGAAGTTCTTTTGTCTGCATAGCCTGGGCTAGGATCTAAGAATGGGGGTTTGGGTACTAGGTTGGGCAGGGTTCATCAGGAGCTGAAACATTGTTGAAACACTGACTGTGGGCCAGGTATCTTCACATCCTCCTCTAAATTCTGCTTTTTTTCATTCCTTCCCCAAGCACTAAAGTCTTTCCCAAGTTTTCTTGCACCAGCCTTAGGTAGCACCAGCTGCACACAGGCCCCTGCCTACTTCTTCCTGCTGCACCTCACTGAACTACCTCTGGTTCTGTAGCCTGTTTCTTCCCAAGGCAGGGGCGAGCAGTGTGTTCCACACCTGCAAAGGGAGTATTCCTGAACATTCTCTATTTAAAGAATGCCCTCTGAATTCCAATTCATTCAGTTATGCGTTGTCTCTGCTCTCATATCTGTCAAGAAATAGGAAGGGTGTGAGATTTCACCTACTTGTAACAAACAAGTTAGCCTGCCACAGTTTCAGAAAACATGTCGCTAGATGTGTTACTTCAACACAACAACTAGCATGCATGTCAAGTTTTTGGTTTCCCCTTGCCCCCCAAGTGTCATGGGGACAGCCGAGATGGCTCCTAGTGGCTGCTGAGTATCATAGCCCTAAACTTAATGGGCTGCGAGCAAACCTGCCCAAACTTGGCTGAGGCTGGACAGCAAATGAAACAGCCCTCTGCCCTGAAGGAGACACTATTTCTCTCTTCCGAGGCTGTTCATAACACACACATTCTTTTTTTATATATTTAATTTCCTTATTTGTATATATCTCACATCAGTGCAGTCCCCATAGACTTCCCACCACCAAGTCACCCCTGCACCGTCACCCTAGTCCCTTGTGCCCTTTCCTCCCTCATTTTGTGCCCCCCTCCCTCCCCCTCCCCTACAGAATGTCTCTGATTTATAGTTGTCTGATTAATTTGTTAAGTTTTGTTGTATTGTTTTTAATTGTTATTATTTTTTTTCTTGGATCCCATATATGGTTTCCCTATATTCCTCCGATAAGTGAAACAATTTGATATTTTTCTTTTTTTTCTGACTGACTTCACTGAGCATAATTTCTTCTAGCTCCATCCATGTTGCTGCGAATGGCATTAGATTATTATTATTATTTTACTGAATAGTATTCCATTGTATAGATATACCACATCTTCTTGACTCAGTCATCTATTTTTGGGCATTTGGGCTGTCTCCAAGTCTTTGATGTTAACAAATAGTGCTGCAGTAAACATAGGGGTACAGGTATCCTTTTGAATTAACATTTTTGTGTCCTCCTAGGGTAGATCCCTAGGAGTGGAATTGCTGGGTCAAATGGCAGCTCCATTTTATCTGAGGAACCTCCACACAGCTTTCCATAGTGGTTGGACTAGTTTGCACACCTACTAGCAGTGTAGGAGAGCTCCTTTTTCGCCATATCCTCACCAAATACAAACATTCTTGAAGAGATGATATGGAACAAAGTTCTCAAAGCGCTCACAAACACAAACCATGGAGAATTGTCTCCTGCACCCCACCCCCACCCCCAGCTCCCTTTCTGTTCCACTCCAGACACACTGTCCCTTGAAAATCTCAGCCACCTCCCACTTGAGGGCTTGTCCCCACTGCTGCCTTTGCTGGGACTTTGTTTCTTGCAGAGGGCACCTGTCTTGTTTGTTGCCTTCCTCCTTCAGTTTTCTATGCCTTTTCAGTGAGACCTCCCATCACCCTTTAAAAAACTCTATCCCCAACTCTGGAACTCCACATTCCTCTTCCCATCCTTATGGGCTTCTTACTTCATCATTTAAAAGAGAAGTCTTTAAAAAAGTTACTGAAGTATCACTGCTGAAATACAGTTTAATTGTTGTTTGTATTCTCTGTCCCTTCCTTAATACATACCCACTAGAACTGATAGGGATGTATACAGAGGAATTTTACTGAACAATCAAAAAAGATAAACTCATGTCATTTTCAGCAACATGGATGAAGCTAGAAGGGATAATGCTAAGTGAAATAAGTCAGAAAGAGAAAGATAAATACCAAATGGTATCACTAATATGTGGAATACAGAGAAACCAAACTAAGGGTCAGATAAAGGCAAGCTTGAAAACCAGCTCTTGAAAATTGACTATAGAAGCATCTGAAAGGAGCATCTAGAAAGGAGAAGGGTGGGGAGGGAGTAAGAAAAAGGGGAGAAAGCACAATAAACTATGGAGGTGGACTATGGGTGATCTGGTGATGGGTGCCCTATGGTGGAAATCTGATGGAGGAGATCAGATGTTATCTCAATTTAAAAAATATTTAACTTTAAAAACATAAAATGGTACAGCCAGTAAAGAAAGCTATTAAAAAAAGAGATAACATTTATGAGAACAGGTGTTTTGTCTATTTTAAATTGCTGCCAAATTCCTGGGACTCTGAAGAATATCTGGCTAGAAGAGTTTCAACAAATATTCACTGAATAACTGAATCTGTCCAACCCTTCCATCCATCTGTCTGTTTGGTCTTCTGTAGGATGGTATCTGTAGGGTGGTTCCACAACTGTTAGACAAATGAAACAGTTAATGCTCTTGGCAGTGCTGGGTAAGAGGCCACAGCTGAGGAGTACGCAGCATCTGAGGCAAAGAATATGCCTCATTTATGTATCTCTAAGCTCTCAACCCTTGCACAAATTCTGTCACATGGGTGGTGTTCCATAGATGCTCTTTGGTTTATTCACCCACTCAAAACATTGCTAGGAACGAAGAAGAGAGTCAGAGGGGCCTGTGCAGTGCAAACTGAGGTTGTAAGTCTGGGAATAGAAGCTTTGCAATCTCTTTGTAGATCAGTTTCTCCAGTTTGTTTCTGTATTTTACCATAAGACAATCCGTGTGCTTATCTGGCTTTCCAGCCTTCAGCAAATTGGCACTTGGGATGAAGAACAGAGATGGCTCAGACGGGGCTGTCACAGAGGTGGCTTTGCTGGAATTAGAAAGACGCAGACAGACTACTTCTAAAAATTAGAACTTTGGGGGCCCTTCCTGATGGCGCAGCAGGTTAAAACACAGCACTGAGAAGCTAAAGCACAGCACTGAGAAGCTAAAACCACTTCAGCATGAGTTCGATCCCAGCCCGAGGTGACCCACATGGCACAGAAGACCTCTCCTGACCCACCCGCTGCTCCCCTCAGAAGTGTACTTCGTAAGTTGGCCTATTCTGCCCCCCACTCTCTCTGGTGAATCCTCTTACTGCCCTGCACTTCTGGCCTGCATCCCAGTTCTATATGCATAAATAAATAAATCTTTAAAAAAATTAGAACTTTGGACAGATAAGCTACAATACCGCACCCTCCCTGGCTGGGCAAATAATAAAAGGCCAGCAGTGGAGAGAGACAGTTGGCAGCCGCCACCCGCCACTATGTGCACAGTGAGACAGGAATCCTAAGTCAGCAAGCAGGAGCCATTCCGGTAGGATGGAGGCTCCCATCACCTCTGAACAGCTCCTGAGATTATCACCTCGCAGCGTGGTATGTGCAGTCCACACCAATGAATTTGTGAGGAGAATTCATGAGGGAGAAAACCCTCAGAAGCATTTTCTAGTGCTTCTACAAGCAAGCTTTATTTCCTAAGAAATCCATCCCAGCCCTGGACTAAAGACAAATGAGG